TACTTCAGACATTGTCCTGAAGTGATTCTCTCAACTTTTCTTGGAGTTCATGTGAAAAAAACTGCTTTATTTTCACTTCATATCCCTTGGGATCAGTAAAGCATAGCTCTGTGGCTACACCGAAAAAAGATTATGGGAATTCAACCAGCGCAGAGACTACAGAGACATTTGCTTGTATTTATCTAAAAATCTCAATAGCGTGTCACCCTGCAATGGTGATGCTGTGTTTCACTTTAATGTTTTTAACACTTATCAGTCTGTTTTACTTCAATGCAAAGACTTTTTGTATATTCTAACTTTTGTCTTTTCATCAGCCGAGAGAACACTTAGTGATCAACAAGAATAGCTTATGTTACAAATTTACTAGTGACAACTTGCAGACGTGCGTCTGCACAGCTCTGCCTAGAACCTGCGTGTTAGAAGTGGAATGCCATTGCAGACTCTTCAGTAAAAAAGAACTGGCTGGATAAATTTGACTCTCATTGCTTCCCTGTTTTCTCTCTGAAAAATGCAGTGAGACTTGCAAATAAGCGGGTAGAGCGTGTTCTAGACGTGCTTATATTAGTGGGATCCATTCACCATGTAATCATACTTTGTACAAGTCAGTTTCACCTGTGTTAAGTATGTATATCCTTTACTGTTGAGAGGTGAGGCCATTAGTGTCATAACATTCTGCATGTTTCTGCTCAGGATACTTTTGCTGTTTATCATGCAAGGCTTGCCTTAGAGCTAGGTAACTATAAATGAAGTTAAACAGGAAGAACAGGTTCCTTATGTGTCAGGCAGTAACAAATAAGCAAAGAAGCAAATGATAGTTTATTGTTTTTATTTGTCTGTAGCAGAGCATGCAATTGTAGAAAATCACGTCAAAAGTCTTTCATTACTGTCTTATGGTGTTAGTCAGATGTTGTGTTTTTTTATTTTATTTATTTATTTATTTTTTTAGATGCAGTTCTGATTTAGTTTTTGGGTGCTGTTTGCAGGCGGAGCAAGCCAAGCAAGGCCAAAACAAACGGCATATTTATATTTATTATTTATTATCTGTGTGGTGAGTTAAGGCAAGTAAGTAGATTTGCTTGGAGGAAACTTTGAGGCACATGAAAAAGCACCGTGAAGTCAGAGGGAGGCTTTGCTAATGAGCTGCAGTTACATGATGTGAGTCGAAATCAGACTCATACATAGTTCATGAGTTCTCCTAATCCTTTAGTTTTTGCACCATATTTAATAGTATTTTTATTTCTCTTACATGTTACAAAAACATTTTTGAACATAACCACAGAACTCACATTAATACAAATTCAAATTGCTGTAAAATAAGATAAATAATTGAATGTATTATTTTTAACTCCTTCAGCAATGTGATCTGTTTCACCTTTCAACAGTCGTTCTTCTCTATAACTTTTTGCTATTTCAGTGCTTTTTTTTTTTTTTTTACCCCCACGCGCCCCCCCCACCCCACCCGTGGGAATCATCTTCACCCGTGGGAATCAGATGTTTGGTGTGAAGGTTAGAGCCTGCCAGAATAAGTGCTAATGAAATTTCCCAATCTTCTTTGTCACTTTGAGTTAAGAACGTTCCATTGTTATGCAGCTCCATTGATTAACTGATTAGCAGTGTCATAGATGGCGTTGGCTAACTTGAATATTCATTTGCATATCAATGACACTGACAGTGGGAATGAACTATAGAGACGACTCTGGGTAGTTCAAGGTTAAAACAAGCAGAAGTTTTCTTATTGCAGAGACAGCTTAGGCAGTGCATTATGTGCTTAAATATATGCTCGTTATTCTAGTATTAAAAATAACAAGGTTTGAATTTACCCTTCACCTGACTCTTTGTAATATTTGCATGAAGGCCTCCTCCACCTCGTGAAAAAAGGATAGACTGTTTCTCCATCTCACTTTAAAAAATTTAAATGGAGCCAAAGATAAAAACAGAAACTCTTATATAGTCTGCATGCCGGTTGGTTTAACATGACAGTAGCCAAGTTGTTATTGGATGAGCAGCCAAAGCCTCTTTCCCCTCTTTGTTGAGTGGAAGGAGAGAAAGTGACACAGGATAGCCGAGGACTGCAGGGCGCCTGTGATCCTAAGGATTACAAGCGTTACGCTGAGCGCTGATGAGCATGTTGGCTGTTGTGATGTCATTCTGCCCACATCACATTCTGCTGGCGACATAAAATGCTCTTAATCATTCATGGCCCTGTCACCACTTGTCTCAGTTCAAGCTAGTGCCATGTGGGACTCCATTACATAAAGGCTTTGTCACTGACTGGCACAAAAAACAAAAACCGATTCTCAACTGAAGCAAACTAACAATATCTTCATATTTTTAGGCACACTGAGTGCTCTGACACAAAGTTGTATAAGCCTTCTTTGTGTTGCATCAGTAGCTATCCAATAGGAATATGATCTTCTGTGTGAAAAAGAGCTAAAATGGAATTTTGCCCCCAGCTGGGCTGGGAGTGTCAAGTGTCAGGTCAAACTGGAATCACTGATCAACCAATTCCTTTTCAACACAATGTATGAGTAAATGCTCGGGTTTAACAGCGTTTTTGTGTTTAAATTATTTTCTATTTAGATGTCTAGACGGAGTTGTAGTTAAGCCCCATACTTCCATTTCTTTCATCTAGCTAGTAACAGTAATAAAATGAGAAGAACAAAGGGTCACCTAGAAACAGAAAACCAAACAATAAGATACTCCCGCTCGCCTATTGTGCAATGAAATCTATCTAAAAGGTCACCATTTCCTCTTCAAATACACTCTACTGATGTGAATGAAAATGAGTCCTTGAATCTGTTTGCTTTTCCAAAATAACTTTTTATAGTGCTGATAGTCATGCTGCCAATGACTTTAACAATCTAAGCATTAAATGTACATATAACTGATGACAGCATGGACAAATTTCCCCTGAGAACTAAAAAAACAAAGAAGAAACATCCCTTTTCTGTGTAAAAGAACATTTAACACTGTCACCGTTTCATATGGAGAGCATTGAACCATTCTGGAGTGTTATTTTGAAACTGAATGGTGAAAATGACTGTGTCATTTCTCATAATGTATTTTTTTACAAAGTACTGAAAGGCTAAAACTGAATATGACAGGACTCCAGGCAGGTCATGCTTCATTTTTTTTGTCACAGCCACAATAATGGGGTCTTGATGACCCTGCGGGGTTTTGAAACTATTCCTCATCAAAGACCAAGGGGCTCCCCAAGGCATAAAATGGGCCATTTCCTAGAATGACTTAAGGTGTGAGGTTTGCACCTTTTGATATTCGAGAACTCAGTGACATCTTTTATGCTGAGGTTGAATGTCTTCGAGTCACATGGCACATCAAAAGCTTCCGCCCCTCAGCTATTGCACTGTGAACTTTGTCTTATTGCCTGGCATGTGGTCACCGGGAAGGGTTAATCCATCTGAATGAGTTGATCTCTCCATGTAGGGGATAAAATCTTTCTCGCCGTTTCTGGTCAGCTTAGAGACAGGAAGCCCACTTAGTAGCCAGCGCTCAGCTCTGACGTTGCCATAGAGAAATACAAAACTTTGTGCACCAGGGAGGAACATGTAAGATGATGAGTTGTCTTTAGCGGTCACCCACACATTCAGCAATCTTTTGTGCAGCAGATACTAATGGGGCAACTGCACAATGCATGAAATAATAAAGGGTTTACCCAATGATGGATCATACTACATTAATTTAACAACAGTGCCTCCGCTCCGGAGGATATTGGTGGTGTTTGTTTGCTTTAAGCTATAATCTTGTAATTTGGCACCCAGTTGTGGCGTAAATAGCTTTAGTAACAGTAAGCTCTTTCCAGTTGTCACGTATATGGGTGTGAGCTTGAACTCAAATAGCTTTTTCAACAGAACAAGAAAATAAGCCTTTGGAGTACTATCCTTATTACATTTGGTCTTTGTTCAACCACTCTGAGAACAATGTGTCTCTTCCATTAGCACCAGAACTACTGAAGAAATCTTGAATGAAGGTGGTGAATATGGAAGATAAAAATGTGGCAGTGGATAGAATTTAGTACTCTTTGGGGATGATCTGTCTTTTGAAAGAAGAGCAAAAAAAAAAGAAGAGCACTAGCTTTTATCATTTATCAAGCCCCCCTCTGTTCCCTCTAGTGCATCAGTTCCCTTTCCAATTGAATGGGTTCTTGTCAGAGATGCAAATGTTTTCATGGGTGACGTTTCTTTGGAATATTGTTGAGTGAAGCCCCCTTTCATTCATGGGGGATACGCATGCAGCCCTAGAGCGTGGGCTTCAGCGTGAGTTTGAAAACACTGAGAGTAATGGTATTTCTGTCTGGCTTAAACAATTGAAGCCATTGTTAATGTCAGAAACACATGGAGCTAGTAGACTGTAGCTAGCACATAAGTGGGTGTTTAAACCTCTTTTCCACTGCATTTCTGTTCTAAGATTATGTTTCAAGGTTTAAGTGGTTTAAGGTCAGTTTGGTCTAAGGATTAAAATTAGTTGTATAGTCATTTGGCATGGAAAAGATCAAACTGACCTGTGAAAGAATCATTCTGCTTTCCAAAGGGGGTTTCAAAACCTTTTAATCTGCTACTTTTCACCAAAGCTTTATAGACAAATGTAATAGAAGTTGCTGATATATGTTATATGAAAAACAGATTAATACGGAACAAAGTACACTGCGTGAAGTGTTCAAGTGTTGCCTACGGGGTTTAAAAAGACAAATTCCACCCAAAAAGAGAATAACATAAAAAGCAGTTTTTGGAAACTATTTATCTCTTGAAGACAGGGGAGGGTGAGAGCAAAATGTAGTCGGTCTGGAGTTTTCTGAGCTGTGCTGTAAGTCGATCCATGCTGAAGAGATGTTGTTCCTCTTCAGTCTTTTTTTTTTCTTTTTTTTCTTCTTTCTTTTATTTCTGCCAGCTTCAACTGCTCTAGCTCACAGTATCCTGTGTCTTGCTGGTTATGTAACAGGCAGGGGCCTAAATGGGAACTAAAGCACAGCAGTGATGGCAGGCACTGCAGCCCATGAAAAACGGATCACAACAGCAGCCCTAGACTTTTAGAAAAAGCTCAAAAATGTATCAGATGAATCGAACTAATTTGAATAGGAATGAAGTTTACCATGGTAGAACTTCACAGGGGCTATTGTGACTGGGTTGGAGTAAGGTGAGGGTGCTTTGAACTTTGTACAAGAGAGCCTTTTCACGATTGCATAACACCCTTACAGTCTTCTGCACAGAAAACCTTTTAGAGTTTAGAACCACTCAAGTGAGCCTTCATTTTGAAGCCCTGGCTACCAAACTTTCCATGCTTGATGGAGATCAGAAAAGAGCGTTTTATGCAATAGTGAGTAATGAGAAATGAATAGAAAGAATTCTTCAAAGCAGAATGTTACATTTTTATCTCAGTTTAATGGAATCTATTTTTTTTTTATTACTTGTTTTCACTTTGCCTGCCATGTTGCAGAGCTACATTTAGTTTACAGAACTACTGATGTGGTTTTAATGCTCTGTATTCTCCTTCTTCTTCTTCACCACAGGCTTTTTCAACCAAGGACCAGAATGGCTCTACTCAAACACCTGAAGTTATATGTGCTTTGACAACATCCCTTACAATTGCTAAAAACTTTGAAAGGAACTCTCCTGACCACCTTCAGATCCTAATTTAAATTTTACCTGTGGATCGTTACTAAAAGACTGCCATCATGCCCATTCTTAAGCAACTGGTCAGCAACTCCAATCAGTCAAAGCGGAGGTCTCGGGCTGACCTGACCGCAGAGATGATCAGTGCTCCGTTGGGGGACTTCCGTCACACCATGCACGTGGGCCGAGGGGGCGATGCCTTTGGGGACACCTCATTTCTCAGCACCCGTTCAGGAGAACCTCCCAGGGAGCCAGACAAAAAGCAAGGCTCACCAAGTTCCAAGCCCGGGCTTCTGTCCCGTACCTTCAGAAACAGCAAGCGATCTCAGTCTGTAAATCGGGCGGACAAGTGTGAGTACAATGCGATGGCACCTTCTGCCGGCTCCTCTCAGTTTGTGAAGACTGCCATATCCCTGCCGTACCTGAACGACGAGGGTACTAACAGAGGTATCCAACTGCCAAAGAGCGTTTCCTCAAGCCCAATGAAGAAGGTGAATGAGATCGAAAGCAAGCCGTTAAATGGAGCAGCAGCTATGGCAGCCCTTGATCCAGAGCTTGAGGAACGGGATTTTGGCGAACCTACAGATTTGCCTCCATCCATGCCTAAGGGAGGTGGGATGAAGCACGCAGAGTCTATAATGTCCTTCCACATTGACCTGGGCCCTTCGATGCTCGGGGACATCTTGAGCGTGATGGAAAAGAAAGGTTGGGAGGAGGATGACCTTGGCTACGAGGAAGGCAAGGGAAGCGAGGGCCATGCTTCGCCGTCCCTCATTCCCCACATAGATGATGACGATGCAGAAGAGCGAGCCCCTGCAAGGCCTCCTCGCAGCATGTACCAGCAAAAAGCCATGGTGGATCCCTACACCCCTGAGCTACAAACCAAGAACAACCACCACAATATGGATAGCTGCTCTGTGTCCAGCTCTGGTTCTGAGGAGAAACCTAACTACCGCCTCCATGACGGTGACACGGACAGTGCAAAGTACAGTTCCCCACGTGGGGGAGAAGGAGAGAGAGATTTCACCTTCATGGACGAGGATGATGACGATGAGATTAGAGTTTAGACTTTAGCTGCCAAGAACAGTTGAAAAGGACTGTAAACATGATAAATAAGGCTTTTTCACCATGCTGTAGCTAGGGTGGGCTAAATGCACGCTACAGTGCAGACTGACTGGCTCACAAAGTGGCCCTTTTTGAAGTGTTTGGGTTTACTCATATTACTGGTAAAGTCTCAGTTTTCCCAAAAAAGTATTGTTTACCACATTTAAACCCTTAACCAAGAAGAAGCAATTGCAAACCATTAGTAAATAATATCACAGACATATCATTTTAAGAAGAGAGAAGAGATGACAGTGAGATTGGGTAATGTGGATGTGTGGTATGGATTCTGTGGAAGGATGTAGGGAAAGGATGAGGAGTGAAACCAAGATGGCGTTAGAATCCCAGTGTGTGTGAGTGAATATGGGGTTTTATTTGCCAATGACACTATTTTGGCATAGACACTAAACAGAAAAAGTTATGCCTTTTTAAGAGTTTAACAGTTGATTTATGCTATTTTCTACTTTATTGTATCTGCAGTATCTGGGAGTTAGTATACAGCAGCCTGCTGCTGTTTTGAGTTGGGTAGATTATTATTTTGTTTCCATTTTTCATTGGGAATATCTGCATTCTTTAAATTCACAGACAGCTGTAATATTTATTAATTTGTTGTCATAAGGGATGGATCATTCTTAATGTGCACTCCTTAGTCTTAAAATTGTGTTGTTGTTTTTTCCAGATATCATAATTTCTTATGGGTACTAAAGACAGAACCATCTTCTTTGTTAGAGGTTGGCTGAATTGCACTTAAATACTGGCCTTAAGTAGGCAATAAATTGTCTTAAATCACTCCTGATCCCATGTTCATTACAGGGAAATATCTTTTACAAAATCAGAGTTGGTGAAAGATTTTTTTTTTTAATACAGGAAAACTGTGAATTGTCAAAAAGAGGCCTTTTGTAAGTGTTATGTGTCTTGTACTTTAAAAAAAAAAAAAAAGCAAGACAGGAATTGTGGTAAAATATGTGTGTCTGTCATGCCTCTCATTCCGCTTCTTAGCTGAAGTAGGATTAGCAGGTCAGTGGAAAGATGTAAGACATTTGTGAAGGGAGTTGCCACCATATAATTACATTTAAGCATTTATGCTTCTGTCAAAAGCATTCCCTCTCTCTGTACATGTGTCCAGGCTTGTCTCTGAGAGCAGAGAAAGGATGTAGCATGTTTAAAGTGTTATTAGAGGACTGCTACTTAACAGATGGGCATCAGGTATGTCTCTGAGCAATGAGAAGGATATTTACTTCCCAAAGTGGACCCAAAGGTGATAATACTCAACTCCTTTACCCAACCAGAATCACATAGTAGGAACAGATGATTAAATCAACCAATCATCTGGCTTCTCCCAGTCTACTCATTAAATGTGCGAGAATATTGGCCCCCGACCAGCTGGAACTGCTCCAGAAACAGATAGGTGGGCTGTTTCCCTTTGGCTTTTTTTGTGTTTAGTTGGTTTCACTCGGTAGGCTACTCCAGATTACTTTCAGCTAGAGCTGGGCGATAGAACGATAACGATATGTATCGCGATATAACTTTTACTCGATAGAGAAATTAAGCTATCGCGATAGACCTCGCCGCTCTTGTCCTCTTAAAAAAAAAAAAAAAAAAAAGGTCAGCCAATCCAAATTAAGTAGCGCAGAGCCGAACCAATCACAGCCGCAGCGTCACGTCGCGTGACTTGTTACGTACAGAACAAGTGCCAAGCCGCACGTGTGTTTGTTTGGGAAGCAGCCAGCGGGTAATGGAGCCAGCGCGTAATGGAGGAAATGAGTGTGCCGACTAGAAAAATCAACCGAGCGTGACCGAAGAGAAAACAGATGATGGTTCCAATGCCGGAGAGATTGTCGAACGGAAGAGCCATAGAAGTTCCGTAGTGTGAAGGTATTTCGGCTATTTCAAGTCTGACAAAAAACAGAGTAGCGTGCACTGTAAATTGTCCCGAAAGCAAGTCTGGAAATACAATAAACTGGTGCATGCGTCACACTGCGCCACGTTATTGTTTCGGTGAAATGAATTTCTACAATACTGTTACTGTTAATTCTACTCTCTGCAGTGTTTAAATGCTTACATATACACACAGTTACTGTCCCTCCACACATACGACTCTGTTCTGCTTCTATGCCCCAGCTTTGTTTACTTTTTCCCACCGAGGCTTCTAGACTTCTGATTGGCCAACATTTCTGCACGGTTAGGAATCTAGCGCCACCTGCTGCTTTGGCATGTTCATAGCAGCGTTTTCTTTCATTTCTCCCTTTATGTGTGGACGGGATTATTTTTAAAACGAAAACGGAAAATCTCCGTTTTCAAAAATACCCGTGTACGTGTGGACTTAGCCTCAGTCTCTGACTGGAAGCGCTAATTCGTCATTCGGCTTTTGTCAGACTAAAGTAACTGTTAAAACTGTTTGAAAAGCTCAGCTATACAACAAGGAGAGATTGAGAATTTCCTTTTAGTTCTCAGTTTATTTGATATTGACAAAAGTTAGTCAGTTTTGTCTGTTCTTCTGTAAAACAAACTAAGATTTATTTTTAGAATGAATATTTTGTTTCTAAGTGGAATTGACAATTTAGTCTGTTTAGCGGCTGCCTTTTGTGTAGTTTGCAATATTTGCCTTTATTTATCTGAAAAAGTCTCATGTTCCTTAAGTACATCTACCCTGTTGAACTTATTATGGGAAATAAATATTTAAATAAAAACAAGCTGCTGATTATTTCACATTTTACTTGTGAGCAACGGCACATTAAAATCTTACAAATATAGTTATTTGTCTTATATCGTGATAGATATCGTTATCGCCTGAAATGAAAAAAAACATATCGTGATATGAAAAAATCTCATATCGCCCAGCTCTACTTTCAGCTATAAATTACACAGAAAGAGTGCGTACTTTACTTTCTTGTATCCATGATTAATGTCTGACCTTCTTCTATTATTTCGTGTTTTTAAAAAAAACTAATTGCCACATTTGACAAATGTTAGCTTGGAATTTCCTGTTGTGGCACTGATGCAGGGTTGTGTATATAGAATCAGGATGCTGTGCCATTCTGTTCTGGGTTGTTGTAATGTTTTGGAACACTATGTGCCCGTATAGATTGCAAGACGTTCTGAAACTGAAGGCGATCCTGAGGAAATTGCCAAGTATGTTAACTATATTGTTGGATAAGGTATAGAAGTCCTGAGTGGGGAAAAAAAGTGGGTGTCTGTTTTTCTTTTTTTTAATGCATGATCCAAAATGTTTTCTTATGCCAGGGTATTTTAAATTTATTTTGTAGGAAGTTTGTTTTTGGGTTTCTAACATATTTTCACTCAGTCGATTGGGGTGGAAATAAATTGGAAACATTTAATTGTAATTTTTCACTTTGATTTTCATTTTTCTGTTACATTCTGGTTGTAATTGGTTGGTTTTTCAGCATCAAAACTACTGGTTAGTTAAATGAAAGAAATGTGGCCCTGGCAGAACTTTTCTTTTTCCTTACTTTAGTGGAAACCTTTCTCTTCACCTGTCTTACAGATGTGGGGGGAAAAAATCACTCTGAAAGATTACACAGACAACACCTTAATTTTCAACTCCTCACTTGCCTCTCAGGGCTTCTGTAGTAATGTTAGCAGCACATTGGATTTAGTTTTTTTCTACTTCTGTATAGATATGCATTATAGACCTCTTTTTATATTTCAGTGTATATGGGCCAAATCTTAGGATGTCTTCTGTTGATCAGTTTTGTAACATGTAGTGTTTGGGGTGATGCAATCCCTGTTGTTCATCTCCAAGACGTTTGCTGTTATCTTTTGATAAAATAATGTACATATAGGTAGTGCCATCAGCGATTACAGTAAACAAGCTTTGTTACCAGCAGTGTGACTATGAGATCCTACTAAGCAAACAGACAAATATTGGATTTAACATGATATGGTACATATGTGGTCAGATTGTGTTTGCATTGCGACATTTTCACAGCTGTCTGCAACACCAGACAGTATATTGCTGTAGATTTTGGAAGACATAAATAGAAAATTGTGGAAAAGTACACAAAATTATGCTAAAATACTTAATGTATTTTAGCATAATGATCTTAACTTTCGGGCATTTGTTGTGTTTCTCTGTGGGAAACTCCTAAGTAGGCCAGAATAAACCATGTAAAAGAATTTGCAAACACACTCTGCCCCAGGTCTGCTTAGAAGTTTTTCATTCCCTGACAGCAATGGTGTGGGGAGTGAAAAAAAAAAGAGAGAGAGAGAGATAAGAACTGCGTAAGACAGCTGGCTCAAAGTTCAGCTAAAGAATGTTTCCTTTTTTCCCCCACTGGCTTTAGTGATATGCCAAGTATGTACTGTTTTCTTTCCCTGTTCCATATTCTGGTTTTACAGTATATTAATATATTTATCTTCACTTTTCTTTCTTTGAAATAACTTCTATATTTTTCAATAAAAGAGAAAGCTGATAATCTTTTACTGTGATCAACTTTCTTTTGTTTCATATTTGCAAATCTGTCATCGCAGGCTGCGTAATTTTCAAACTTTTTAAATGTGTAACATTGGGCACAAAACAGGCAGAAAGCTCAGTATAAACTGCCGTCTACTGCAAGGTCAGATTTCAATGAGGGAACTGCAGAAAGAGCCAAATCCACAGTTTAACAAACACACTCTCGCAGTGGATTATTCTACGCAAATAACCCTGAAATGAAAGATAAAACCCCGTGTTAACAGTTTTCACATCCCATCATGGCAAGTGGAGTCCTGTGAGCTAATTAGGATCCTTCAGCCACACTGCTTTTGATAGGCTTTACAGCCTCGTTAATACAACAGAGCAGTCCTTAAAACGTGCACTGTCTCATCACGGTTCATGAACCTTACAAACGAGAGTCAAAAAGGCAAGAAAACATGCATTTATGGCGTGTTAATGATTGATAAGAAGAGTAGTACAGAAATGTACAGATGGAATAAATCTGTTTGTTTTTGCTTTTTTAAACCTTAAATGGTTTCTGCTATTAAAAACCATCTGGATATGCGATAATATGTGCATTAGCTTTACTGTTACCAGATTTAACTTGCATGTCTGGGTTCAGTGCAGCTAGTCAAAGGGTTATGAAGAGGATTGTGATCCTAGGTCCAAAAACAGCAGCTTTCTTGTTGAAATACAAGCTTTAAATAGAGACCTGGATCATTTCTGAAGCAATTTTTCAAATACATCTGGACAGATTAAATTGGCTTCATTTGGCATAACCATGGAAAATCACTGGAAAATATAACAGGACATTTATTCAGGGATGCACTAAAACAAACAGTTTTAGGTTGTTAAATATACATTTGTGAGGGAATGCTTCATATCTGACTAAAATGTATTTTATTTGTTTCTTTTCTTAAATCCTCCATCCATTTTCTTCTGCTTATCCACATCAGGGTTGCTGTAAGGGCTGTCATAGGTGTGGCACACCACAGGCAGCAAAAAGGAGTCTATCATAGCACTTATACATTTTTAACCCCTTTTTTTTATTATACCACTTCTTCTTACTGTTATTAAAAATGTCAGCGATGAAATTATTCAGCAGTAACACTTCTCTACTCTACTTCGCAGCACTAGTCACTATGACACTTCTCATGAATAATAAACACATTTACATTTTATGGCTGTTCACTTATGTAAGATTTTTAAAAACTTGATTTACTATTGGAATTTTTTTTTCCAATGTTAAATAATTTGCTTTTTTTCTTTTTTCCCCACCACGGTTGAAAAAGTGCCTTGAGTCCAGTGGCAAATTCAGAGGAGTTTAATTAAAAAGGATAGTTTTCTTTTTCTGCTTGGCAGCTCTCCGTAAAGCCGTCTATACACACCAGGAAAAAAAAAAAGTGGTGCTTAAGTGTGAATTTCAATAGTTTGAATGAAAAAAATTACTTGTGGATAGGCTCATTTAAAGATATGCTACTATTGCCCTCTAGTGTTATTTTCAT